ACAGAATCCGAAGCAGGATTCAGGTTCCGAGTTGTCAGCACAGAGCCCAACACGGGGCATGAACTCATAGACCATGAGATCATGACCTAAGCTGAAGTTGGATGCTTAACCGACTGAGCCAACCAGGTGCCCCAAGATCACAAATCTTATTAATAATGAGGCTTCACCTAAAGTCTCTGAAAGACTTCTCAGTCTTCACTAAAGCCCGTGATTCCCAATTTTTTTTCAGTCTTTGTTTAGTTTAAAACCATAACACACTTTCTTCAGTATTCACTTTTCTTTTTGTCACTGACCTATGATCCTTAATCAGGAACATGTCCCCATACAGTGTGGGTAAGAATATAGTCTGAAAAGGTTAGGGTTGTTTCTTCCTGCTCTTACTAACACAGCTGCAGGATACAAATTTGAGGTTCTTTTTGGTTGTTATTGTTATATATATACATATATTCTATATTCTATATCTGCTGTGTGTGTGTATATATGTGTGTGTGTGTGTGTAATATATAGGAGACTTACCAGGAATGGGAGGGTACTGAACACCTCCATGATTAGGGGAGTGAGGGGAGGAACTAGAACGCCTAAGGGGTAGCTAGAGAGCTATCATGAGGAAAGAAAAGGTGCTCATGAAGAGACTATAGCTTTATTCATTTTATAACTGCCTAGGACTTGCCTCCACCAAATAGCACTATTCCCAATTCATCAATCATTGAATAAATACTATGCACTAGGAATGGTTTGTCCCTCTTCTTGAACGATTTCTTTTAGGACCAATCCTTCAATTCGAAAATTATTTAAAATCCACTAATAGCAAATATTATAGAATTGAGAATGTTAAGTCTCCACGAGCCCTGGGGAATTGCTAAACTGACCAGTGCCTTTCCCACCTGTTTTATCACATATAAATTGGAAACTAGATATGCAATAGTCAATTAGAAAGCAGAAAAGAAAAACAGCTCTGAAGTAAAAACATTTACCTAAGTCAAACACATACCTGATTATTGATAGTACTACTAAGAACTTTAAACCAATCATTAATAACAGTGTCATTATCAGACTGAATTAGCAGTTCTGTTCCTTGACGGGTTTTCAGCTTTAGAGAAAAGGAAAAAAAAAAAGTAGTTAGTGCTTTCAACCAAATAAATGAATGCACATGTGCACACATGCGCGCACACGCACACGCGCACACACACATACACACATAATTATTAAAGAGTGAGAATCCCAAGCAGGCTCCATGCTCAGCCCAGAGCCTGATGCAAGGCTTGACCCCACAACCCTGGGATTGTGACCTGAGTTGAAATCAAGAGTCAGATGTTCATCTAAGCCACGTGTGTGTGTGCGCGCATGTGTGTGTGTGTGTGTGTGTGTGTGTGTGTGTGTGTGTGTGTGTGTATTTTTTTTCTTTTTAAGATTTTAAGTCATCTCTACCCCCAACATGGGACTCAAACTCACAACCCTAAGATCAAGAGTCTCATGTTCCAGAAACTGAGCCGGCCAGGAGCCCCCAAATAAATGAATATATTTAAACTAAAGTCTACAAAACCACCAGCAAGAGACGTTACATTAAGTGATGAAAGGTTAAAGTAATGCTGCATAGCAATAGAGTATTTTTTACTTTAATATAAAATAATCCCAGAGGAATTATTTTATAAAACATGAAATTTTTTTTCACAAAAAAATTCTCAACAAAAATCTAATAACTTAGGGTCCCAAACTCCATCACACAAATGCAATAAAACTTGCTGAAATCTAGTGTACTTTTTCATTAAAAAATAAGTTCAAGTATGGGAATGCAAGCTGGTGCAGCCACTCTGGAAAACAGTATGGAGGTTCCTCAAAAAACTAAAAATAGAACCACCCTACAACCCAGCAATTGCACTACTAGGCATTTACCCAAGGGATACAGGTGTGCAGTTTCGAAGGGATACATGCACCCCAATGATAGCAGTACTATCGACAATAGCCAAAGTATGGAAAGAGCCCAAATGTCCATCGATGGATGAATGGATAAAGAAGATGTGATATGTATACACACACACACACACACACAATGGAGTATTATTCGGCAATCAAGAAGAATGAAATTTTGCCATTTGCAACTACGTGGATGGAACTGGAGGGTATTATGCTAAGTGAAATTAGTCAGAGAAAGACAAATACCATATGACTTCACTCATATGAGGACTTTAAGATACAAAACAGATGAACATAAGGGAAGGAAAACAAAAATAATATAAAAAACAGGGAGGAGGACAAAGTATAAGAGACTCATAAATATGGAGAACAGCGGGTTACTGGAGGAGGTGTGCTAGGTGGGATGGGCTAAACAGGTAAGGGGCATTAAGGAATCTACTCCTGAAGTCATTGTTGTACTATACACCAACTAATTTGGATGTAAATTAAAAAAATAAAATGAATGAGAACAAAAAATAAAATAAAATAAACAGAAAAAAAAATAAGTTCCAAGTATCAAAGCTGTGTTTTCAATTAGAATTGAAACAAAATTCATTTTAATTTATGTTTTTTATGTTGCAGGGAGCACATACACACGTGCACAAGTAGGGGAGGGGCAGAGAGGGGGGAGAGGGAGAGAGAGAGAGAGAGAGAGAGAGAGAGAGAAAGAGAGAAAGAGAGAAAGAATCCCAAGCAGCCTCCATGCTCAGTGCAGAACCTGGTGCAGGACCCAATCCTACAACCTCAGGATCATGACCTGAGCTGAAATCAAGAATCAGACACTCAACTGACTGAGCCACCCAGGTGCCCCAAAACAAAATTCATTTGTAAAGAAATAAAATCTGTGATCTTTTTATGTAAATCTGAGGAACTTTTTTCTCTCCCCAGTTAAAAAATAAATGTAGGAAAAAATATATGAAAGAGTGAAATATTCATTATTTCCTATTTAATAGGGAAATAAATATAATGGCTTGGTATAAAGAGAAGGCACAGACAATAAATGTTACATCACTTTTGGAAAGAAACAGTACTAAATTAAGTGTCAAATCATGAACTACTCAAGTAAGGATACTATGTATTATTCTACATGAAGGCTACTGCCAGATTATGTGTAATCACTTTGCTTCAAAGTTTCTTCCACTTGACTAAGAAAAATAATGAGGTATTGGGAGAAAGCCTTCCTCCTATTTTGTGGTTAGTAACTGTTTATTTTTTTCCTTGAGGAACATATTGCATTGTTTCCCATACAACATTCTGAGACATATGCCTCAAATACAGTTCCCAAAGTAATGTTTTAAAAAAAGGTATTCCTCAGTGATATTTAAGATATTAATTTGGGAAATACTGGATTGAAGAAAGTTAAACAAGATTCTCTCCTTCAAGATATTGCAGGGCTTTGATATTCCAGGGTACACTGATTTTCTAAGGAAAGAATAACAATATACACCATTGTCTGCATTTATTTGACCATGGATTCGCTTTCACTCTAAATTACTTCTTAAAACTACAAGGTTAATTCAGTAAACACTGACTTCCTTTCTTGTACTACTTTCCCAGAGTCCGTCAAGCCAGTCTACCAATACTGAATATTCACTGCACATGAGATACTGTCAGTTCTTACCTCAAGATAAGGAAAAATAGTCTCTCTGCTGAAAAAATAATAATTATCTAGTGGGAAGCGTAATTTACACATGATGGTAAACTAAGGTACACTCAATTAAATGCTATTTTATTTACTTATTTATTTTTTAATTTTTTTTTAACATTTATTTATTTTTGAGACAGAGAGAGACAGAGCATGAATGGGGGAGGGGCAGAGAGAGAGGGAAACACAGAATCCGAAGCAGGCTCCAGGCTCTGAGCCATCAGCCCAGAGCCCAATGCGGGGCTTGAACTCATGGACCGCGAGATCGTGATCCGAGCCGAAGTCGGACGCTCAACCAACTGAGCCACGCAGGCGCCCCAATTAAATGCTATTTTAAAAGCATAATAAAAAAGAAGCATCAGTGTTGTGGTCACATTTCTCATGGGTCTTGGAAGACAGGTAACATGTGATAAGCAGAGACTGCCTTGGGTACTAAGAGTAAAAATCATAGGAGCACGAAAGTCTAGGTCTCACTTGGAAAACAGCAAATGCCTGGACAAGACAGGAAAGGACTGACACATGAGGCTCTAAAGGAAGGCTGGGATTGGGAAGACTGTTTGCAAAGACAGTCTGGAAAATTCCTCCAATCTCCGAACACACACCCTTCTGCAATGTGCCTTTACTGTTCCTCCATCAACAGGTGGGTTCTAGTTCCCCACAACCCTCAACACTCGGCTGGCTTTCGGACTTGCTTTAACCAATGGAATCCACTGATGTGTGACTCCTAAATCTAGGCCTCAGGAAGTCTTATATCTTCCACTCTTACCCTCTTGGAACCCTGACACGGCCCCGTGAAGAAGCCTGGCGTAGCCTCCTGAAGAGTGAGAGAACCTGGAGAGAAAGAGGTCTAGCAGCTGGCACAACACCAGACATGTGAGTAGACTGCCCAGACGCAGTCAAGCCACTACTAAAGCCTCGTGAATGGCCCCATGTGAGATCAGAAGAACCACTCAGCTCAGTAAAGGCCAAACCCAACTAAAAAAATGGTTCTTTTCTCCTAAGCTTCTAAATTCTAAGGTGGTCTGATATGCAGCAGTAATAACAGATACAGAATCATATATTACTGTGGGGGATTTTTAATGACAAAATGGAAAGGTTTCAACTTATTTTTCAATATTAGATTTGGTAGGTAAAGGAATCCACACCCTTTTTATTGTTGGTAGGGAAAGGCAAGACTGTGGAACAAAGGCTTGTAATATATAGTCTGAGACCCAATAATTTATGCAAGTGAAGCCCAGATCTTTATACCAGCTTTTTTCCCCTTAAATTATGACACCAAACTGATTTAAAGACCAACTTTGCCTTAATCAGTTGCACTAAAATATAGCTCAAAAGAACTCAAAAAAAAGAACACCCAATTACTATGGTTAAGAAGGTGAATTATAGGGGTGCCTGGGTGGTTCAGTCAGTTGAGTGTCTGACTTCGGCTCAGGTCATGATCTCGCAGTTTGTGGGTTCGAGTCCCGGGTCGGGCTCTGTGCTGACAGCTTGGAGCCTGAAGCCTGCTTCTGATTCTGTGTCTCCCTGTCTCTTTGCTCCTCCCCTGTTCTCTCTCTCAATCTCTCTCAAAAATAAACATTAAAAAAAATTTAAAGAAGGTGAATTATACTTAGAAAAAAAATGTATTACCTCAAATACATTCTTTTTGCTGGATTTGTCCTTTGAAGCCATCTCCACTGTCGCCCCCTTCAGGTCCACTGTGAACTCTGGCTTGGACTGATTACTCCCAAACTTCATTTTAGAAAAAAGGAAAAACCCTTGTGATATTCATGTACACGAGCATATCAAAAACAATTTAGACCAATTTTATATTATGAACAATAAATCAAATAGGTGATTACCTCAAATTCTTGTCTTTATTATAAAATAACAATTCATACCTTAAAACTGAAATGTCTACAAGACATGAATATATCGTTCACAGAAAAGGAAATGGCTCGACTTGCATCTTAATAAGAAAAACACAAAATGAAGCCACACTAAAATCTTTTTTCACCCATCAGTGTAGAAAAAAAATTCTAAAAGTTAGATGAAAAACTATGTTTTGCATAGAGAAATAGGCCTTCATATGCAAGTACAGTACAAATTGGAACAATGCCTAGAGAGGGAAAATTGTAATACTTTATTTGGAAATTTACAAATGCATGTATCCTTTGGCTTGGAACTGAACCTAGACTATATAGGCTAGGTAAAATGATGTGTTCAAAAGGCAAGGCATTATTCTTACATATGTGTAAATAATATCTGGCAGATATCAAGTTGTTTTCCACTCAATAAACATTCTATAAACTTGATTATGCTTTCAAGAGTTATTTCCTTATTGACTATTTATGTTGTCAACAACTAACAGTAACTTATAAAAACAGAAAACTCTAAGCCTCATGTTCTTTTACGTAGCCTTTGTTAGAAATTATACCTGGAGCCAGATGCTATGAAGCCTCAGCAATTTAATAAAAAACTGTGAAAAGAATAGGAAGACAGCTGACATGAAAAGAAAAAGCACTTAGCTAGCTGTTAGATTTTGTTAACCAGATAAGGAAAAGATTAGCAAGCAGCAGAAAATTCATGTTAAATACAGATGTACTCTGCGCCTTGTCATCATTAACTTAAATTTTTGTTTAGAAATTTAACTAAGAATAGACAACAGAACTAAGAACAGAAAATAGCATTCCCATTTATTGAAAGGTTTAGAGGTTTTAAATCTTTAAGGGCTATAATCTTAAGGCCAAAGATTTATTACAGAAGATTTTGTTTCTTAAAATATTTTCAAGTCAAATTATGTTTGTCATTGGAAATGGATATTACCCCAGCAACCTACTGACTGATATCTTAGTCACTGTTCATAACACTACTCAGTAGCTTCCCGTTTAATGAATGGTTCAACTTCATCTGTTCCCTTTTACTTCATCTTTTCAGCTAGCAATGTGGACTTAAATAATGTACTTGTTATAACAAAACAACATTTAGGATATTATATGGCATTTATTAGTGAAATCAAAACAAAGCTTAGGGTGTTATATGGAATTTTTATTAGTGGAATCATAATAACAATCACAAAAATTTTGACTAATTTACAGTCTTGGCCTTAAGTGTCTGTCATTGTCATTCAAAAGACATTTAATTAACCATAGGAGGAGCTACAATGGGCAAAGAGAACTTTCTGAGCAAAAATGATGATCTCAAAAGTTGTAAAACTTAAATGTACACATTTAACTGAATGATAAAAATCCATGTACAAATTGTCATTACATGCCTGTAAATGGTTAGCTATAAGCTAAGATACTTAGCTTAAATAACTAACCAAGTAAGATATAGCAACCAAATAACAAATACAATGACAGGACACGGAATGCTGGTAAAAGTACATTCACTGCGGTTGGCAAAATTTTGTGTTTGTTACTCATTCTTTTTCAAACTTTAGTCCCACTTTATCATACATCCCTCCAATAAATTCATGGCAAAGAAAATGGAATAATTGTGGCAAGGGGCATGCAACAAGAACACATACAGTGACAGCCGAAACAGGATCAGATTTTACATATGCAGGCCGACGACTGACAGAATTTTTCCAAGAAGAAAGCAGCGAAAGCAAGAGCTCAGAGACAGAGCCCTGTTGGCAGAATGACTTGATGGAAAAAGGGAAGAAAGTGATGATGTCATAATAATGCACAACAGCAAAATGACACATAAGAGAAAAGCATATGGAAACAAATGGGACAAAAATACAATTCCACAAGCAGACACAACACAAAGCTTAACTTCCAAATATTTTGCAAAGGCCCTAGCATTTATATCTCAGAATAATTTTCTGACTCTGTTACTATGTAAGTTCATGCTTTATTTTTAAGGTGAATGCTTTATAGAAATTATATTAAACAGAAATTACATTAAACATCTTCGTCTGTATTCAGAACAGAAGACCTGAAGGGTCACAGACGGGAGTCACATCTGGCCCACCACCATCTTACCCAGCAGCCCCTGAATCTGGGAGCTTCCTCCTTGCAACCTGCTGGGCAATGTCCCCCAGTGGCCCTACCATCCAATTTGCCTTCTCTTCCTTTAGGACAAGTGGTTCTCAACCACAGGCAATTCTGTCCCCCAGGGGACATCTGGCAATGTCTGGAGACATTTGTGGTTGTCACACCTGGAGGTGAGGATGCTACTATCTTCTGCTAAATACCACAAAATTTACAGGAGAGCCCCCACAACAAAGAATTATCTGCCCCCCCAAAATGACAATTTTTAGATATTTAAAAGCACATATAAATAAATTTGAATTACTAATATTTGTGGGGTGATTTTTATAATACTCAAGGAATATGATGAATGATATCCCGAAAGGTAGCACAATACATGTCATGTCACATTATAACTGTGCACTTGTCTTCCCCATTATAGTGTAAGTCATGAGGATAAAGACCATGTTACTTACTTGTAACTCCCCAAACTTAACACAATGCCCAGAACAAAATAGGCTTTAAGGTCTGTTGAACAAATCAGGTGAAATGAAGTAAGAAAAAAAAACAAGTATAATTTATGTTATTGATATCACAATCCAGTGGATAACTAATTATACAGAAAACAACTGGAATATATCCTAAAGGGGAAAGAAGGGCTCACTGGATCATGTACCACCTATGTAAAATTTATCTTATATAGTGGAGTTGCATGGTGCATATGTATGTTTTGTTTACTTAATATTAACTATCCATGGAACCAAAAATAAATGCTAAGTATGAATTAATTAAAACAAAAAACAATTTCAAATAGTGTGAGTGATTTTGCTCAGCCTTCAATCAATGAGTATATGCCCTGGAGTGAGCATAAGATTTGAAACTGCTCTGGGGCGCCTGGGTGGCGCAGTCGGTTAAGCGTCCGACTTCAGCCAGGTCACGATCTCGCGCTCCGTGAGTTCGAGCCCCGCGTCGGGCTCTGGGCTGATGGCTCAGAGCCTGGAGCCTGTTTCCGATTCTGTGTCTCCCTCTCTCTCTGCCCCTCCCCCATTCACGCTCTGTCTCTCTCTGTCCCCAAAATAAATAAACATTGGAAAAAAAAAAAAATTTTAAAGATTTGAACCTGCTCTTTCTTCAAGTAGATCTAGGTATAGGTTTTTGCACTAATTGTGAAACTAATTTTTAAAGAACCAACTAGACTGGGGACCAACTAGCCCCTTAACATAAACCAAGTGGAGGGCAAGCAATCTTCCAACATCAAAGGCAGAAAGTATCTCTGCTAGAGACCAACTTCTAACTAACACCTTTCTAAGAGATACTCAAGGACATTTTCACTACAAGTGATTTTTGTCTTTTTGGCTTATATCTAGCCTTAGAATCTCATCCTCAGGTAAGGTGTGATTTCATTATATAAACAGGATACATTTTACCTACAATAGATCTACTCGGTGACTGAGCAGAGAAACAAAGCTGTGATTTTTTTCAAATCCTTTTTAACAATCCTAATTACAGAGTTAGTTAAGAAGCCTTTCATTGGGGCGCCTGGGTGGCGCAGTCGGTTAGGCGTCCGACTTCAGCCAGGTCACGATCTCGCGGTCCGTGAGTTCGAGCCCCGCGTCGGGCTCTGGGCTGATGGCTCAGAGCCTGGAGCCTGTTTCCGATTCTGTGTCTCCCTCTCTCTCTGCCCCTCCCCCGTTCATGCTCTGTCTCTCTCTGTCCCCAAAATAAATAAACGTTGAAAAAAAATTAAAAAAAAAAAAAAGAAGCCTTTCACATATTTCACCAATTTTTTAATATTTATGAACGTTGTATGTGCCAAAATATATTGTACACACTCATATACTTTTTATTTGAATCATCTTGACTTGCTTTTACTTAGCCCATTTAAATTAGTTTTCATTCACTTCATAAATGTTACATATGGAAAGTCTGATTTTTAAATTTGCCATAAAATAAAAATTAAGAATTAACTGCAAATCCAAGCATTTTATCATCTCACATCTGTTTAGTTTTATTTAATTATACCAATTTGAAATGATTACAATATATTCTATAATTCAAAATACATTAATAAAATTTCATTTAAAGGCAGTAGTTCAAATAGTGAATCCCTAAACTTAAAAATTAATTAAGAATTCTACAGTTTCAAAATTGGCTGGCTCACTGAATTTTACACTGTTTCCGTTATTGCCACATGGTAATACGGTAACACAACTTTAGCTGATGAACAGAAATACCTCACATCCTTTGTCAAGATTAGATTTAATTATGAGTTCTGAATTATGTAAGATCTTCAAGAGTGAAAACCTTAAGTAAAATGCAACCAGCCTGCACTGATGATCATGAGCTGAGGTATTCACTTAACATCTTTAAATTTAAAAAAGTTTTCATTTTCTTTAAATAACATACAAATCTGCCTAGCTAAATGACACCTCTTACCACAATGTTCTCTACTTTATCTGCACATACCACAACCTCCAATCTTTAAGTATCAGAAATTATCAAACAAATAACCATTACTCGGCTTTCTTTAGGTCCTTTTTTATTACTTATTAATCTCTAATTGCTTCTCCATTCCTCTTCTTGCATTCATTTCCTGCACTTGATTTCAAAGAAAGCTTGAGCCACAAGCAGGAAGAAGAATTGCATAACCCTCTAGAAATGCATTAGCACAAACAAAAAGTACCATATGCTTTACCTCAGAGAAAAAAAGGAGAAACACATAATTATCCATTTACTTTAAGATAAATTTCAATCTTTAAATATGGAAAGCAGATCACAGGTCTGTTCCACCATTCTGGTTAAACAATGAAGCAAATCAAAAAATTGGTGAACAAAACAGAAGAAACATTCTAGAAAGTTCCTATTAGTGCCCAATCCAGAGGATTTTGGGGTTGTTGCCATATCAGAGTTCTAACATGTTCTATGCATTCCTGGTTCTGAGTAATATGTTAAATGGCTGCATTATAAATGTAAATGAGTAGAATTTGCTTGAATTTTATAAATGGATTTCTTTTTTTTTATCAAACATAAGGTCCATAAGTCCTGTTAATTTTAAAGCAACAGTAAATATAAGAAAATACTGGTTAAGGTAGGATATAGAGCAGACTAAAGACGTTAGATTGATTTCATTTTAAATTTTATTTAAGCTTGACTTTTCAAATTCAATTACCAAAAAGTTTTGGAAATATTCTGAGGGTGGACTTTGGAGACAAAATGCCACCTAGTTCTGCCACTTAGTAGCTAGCTGTTTGACCTTCGGCAAGCTCCTTAACTGTTTTACACCTCATTTTCTCATCTACAACAGGGGAAGAGGGGATGATAAACAGTAGCTATCTCAGACTTAAAAGGGTAATAATATATATATGCATAATCTTCTGCCCTTAAAGGAGTACCTGATACATATTAAGCATTCAAAAAGTGTTAATAACTATTATGTCACAAGCTGTAATTTTTAATATTTCGATTACAAATTAACTGAGTGGTAACAATAGCAAACACTCAGATATACAAAAAACTTCAAAAATCCCACAAGTAATGGGACATTTACTTATTCTTCTAAATGCTGGCTGACATACACAGATATGTAATCACTGACTAGTAATCCAAGGATCAGATCACAATTCAAGGTGGGGCTTGACACATTACTGTTTATTTTCTGAGTAAACATCTGAACTGGCAAAACCACAAAGCATAAGAAAGCTTTTACAGGTGTCCCCTGCTTTTTGGAAGTTTTACACCACTTGGCTTTTACAAAAGACCTACATTAGTATCTGTTTTTGTTAACCAAAACAAATCTGATGAGTATTTGCACTTTCATTAAAAAAGGTGAAGAGTGGGGCGCCTGGGTGGCTTGGTCAGTTTATCGTCTCAGGTCATGATCTCACGGCCCATGAATTCGAGCCCCGCGTCGGGCTCTGTGCTGACCGCTCAGAGCCTGCGGCCTGTTTCAGATTCTGTGTCTCCCTCTCTCTCTGCCCCTCCCCTGTTCATGCTCTGTCTCTGTCTCAAAAATAAATAAACGTTCAAAAAAAAAATTAAAAAAAAAAAAGGTGAAGAGTGAAAATAGCATTGGACATTTGTTGTCAGTGAGCAACTGTGGAGGCAAACTCACACCCCAAGCTCCCTCTCAGGGAACCACACTAGCACCTGAGCATCAATCCACCATGGTTTTGACTGTGTAAGCATCTGTGCTTTAGCTTGTTTGTGCATCCATTAGCAAGATATTTCCTAAGGTATCAGAAAAGCCTAAAAGAGGGATGGGGGGTGGGTGGGGGGAGGGATGAAAATGCTCAAAAATTTTTCCATATAAATTAATGGTAATTGCTTCTTTGCTTTATGAAGTTTCATTGGAATGCTCTGCTTTCGGACAACCTATAACATCCTGGAGGTGAATAAAGAGAGATATTTTGTTCTATTATGTCCAAGTAGTAAGCTCACCTTTCAGTCCAATGGATACAACAGACTTTGATGATTTAAATAATACAACTTATCAGACTTCTAATTAGCCCTCTTGTTATGAGTCAAAATGCATCTTTTTAAAAATTTCATTTACTTTTATTTGCATACCAGCTGTAGCTAGAAGGACTTTGAAATACTACATGAAATTCAGGTAAAATACCTTCCACAAAATTTAAATGTATAAAGCCCTCAAACAGAAGAAATACTTACCCAACTTGTGCTGCTTCCTTGAGTTTTGGTAAAGAGTAAAGATGAACCTTGCAACACGGCCCAAGAAGACAACCAGTTCTTTCTGTAATTATAAATATGACCAACTAAAACTTTGCTACTTAGTTTTTCCAACTGCATTTAAAATATTAAAACCTACTTAACAATATTTTCCACAATGTACACTCATTATTGACATTCTAATTGTATTTACTGAGAATATAATGCCCCAAATAAATGAAGCTAATAGAGATAGAAGTTATCAGAATAACTATATACCTAATTAAGTTCTCATGGACTAATCCAGCACACCTGTGATCAAGGGTATGAATTTATTTTGAAGTAACATGAACTGAACCCTTTATTTGGCAAGAATTACCCATGATTAAAAATTAGGCAAACATGCCCCCTTCACCTAATTCTTTATAGATACATATTGTTTTATATTTCTTAGTATTCTCCCTTCCCCTAATACAGGCTACACAATGTAAGTGATAGATACTAGGTACATTACAAGTATACAATAAATTACATACTCATTGATCAATGAGGTTACTAAGATGAGGGTTTTTCTTATTGTCCTAAATTACAAAATTAACATATATAAAACTCTAAATATAAAATGTATGAAGAAAAAAATGTATAAAGAGAAAAGTCCCTATTTCTTCTCCTTCAACCCACATTCCAAAGACAAGCAATATTTACCTTATAAGGAAATTCAACTGCTGGCAGGCTAAAATGAATGTCAAATAGGTCTACTACAGAAATTTATTAAGGCCTACCTTACTGCCAAACATACTGACGGTTTTGTGAAAATTCTACGGGTACTAAAAAGATTTATTTTCCTTTTTCAGAATGCAGAACTCAATACATATCAATGAGACCTACTTTATTAGTTTTTATGTATACTTGAACTTCATGGATTAAAAGTAAAATAAAGTTTACTACTACTAAGTTTCTATCTAATTTTCCTTTTATTTCCTGGTGTTTTTGTTTATGGTAGTTAATGCTACTTACTTGGTGAATGGCTATTCCTAATGATTAGATCTTTATTGTGGATTTATCCACAGTTTTTTTCATCTTAAGTCCCCATCTTTGTGATGCTTAATGCTTTCCTTCCCCCTGCCCCCTCCAAACTGAACATGTCTGCTATTAAAAGCCCCATTCTTGCTTTACTTTTTGTATCTTGGACATGCCCCCCTTTTTTTTTTTAACTTTTCTGAATCATTTTTCAGGTATCTCTTTTATATATAATATTTAGGTGGGTTTTGTTTTGTGCTTCATCTGAGTTATCTTTTTCTTTTAATAGAGGAGTATAGACATTGACATATGTTTAGCCCTTGTGTCATCTTTTTGCTATATTTTCATTTCATTTTATTTTTTGTTTTGTGTGGATCTCTTAAGATATTTTGAAGAGATTTATTTTTATTTGTAAATTTATTTTATACTCAATCTTCTATTTCTAGAGAGATCATCTACTGATTCCCTCCTCTGAAAAATGCTAAAATTAGTGTATTTCTACTTTAAATAAACTTTTTGAATTTAGTTTTCAAAATTAGAAAAACTATAGAACTAGTAACATATTAAGAATATTGAATATTAAATAGTGAATTAACAATAGTTGTCTCAACAACTGAAGCACTCGTGGGACTGAGCTGCAAGCAGAATTAGTCACATTTTTTTCCCCAGGAAATTTTTCCTGGAAAAAAACAAAAACAAGACTGATGATCATACTATGGTTATTTAGTCTTGAGCATTTGGCAGGTAGACATTATCTCAAAAATAAATGAAGTGAGCGTGTCATTTAAATGACAGTATTTGTTGACAATAAAAAATTAAAGCTTTCAAAGGGTAAGTAGAATTTGGGAAAACCTGGCATACCCACCACTGTGATGTGGATGATTTTCCAATCCTTAATGATTTTTCTGATGATGTTACAGATTTGTGATTCTTTGATATTATAAAATATGTCAACATTTGAAAAAATCAGCAAACTTTAGTGAACCAGTATTTTCCAAATGATCCACAAGATGCTACAAAATTGTGCATGGGTAAAGATTCATTCAAAGTGCAACACAGACCGATGGACTCTGACGTGACTAAGTAGGAAAGTTCACTAACTGCAACTAACACTTGTGGAGTTATGGTGTAGCAGAGAAATATGTGCAATAACCTAAGAATATTAAACTACTCCTCCCTTTGCCAGCTTTATATATGAAAGGGAGGATTCTCTTCATATACTTCAGCCAAAACAATGTGTCACAGCAGACTGACTGCCAGCATAGATGAGAATCCAGCTGTTTTCCATCAAATCAAATTTCAAAGATTTGCAAAAATGTAGAACAATGCCACACCTCTCAGGGAAATTTTTTGTGTTGGAAAATGCAGGTATTTTCCTTCATAAAAATGTGTAATTGTGTTATCTGTGTTAGCAGATAATGGGTTATAGTTTTAAGAGTTGCAATACTTAAAATTTCTTAGTTTTAATTTCTTAAAGTAAATAGCTATAGCTATAAACTACATAGACAAAAGTTCTTTGCGGTATTCAGTAATTTTTAAGAGTTTAAAGGGGTTCTCAGATCAAAATGTTTGAGAACCCTGGATATACACAAAAGTAAAAAAACTATTTTGTTCAACTCCACACAAATAAATCTGAAGAAGAAATGGATGATTTTCTTAGAAAACATAAATCACCAAAAGTATTCCAAAAGAAGTCAAAAATCTAAAAGACTACCACAGGAAAAACAAAAACAGAGAAAGTGGCCAAAGAACTATCTGCACTACACATGCCCAAAAGGGAGAAAAGGAAAAATAAAGACCCCATTCACAAGTGACTCCACCCAAAGAACAGATGAAGGAACAAATAATTGCAGTATTTGTAAAGCTATTTCGACCACTTAAAAGAAAAACTTCCAAGTACTAAAATGGGACAAAGACAGTTCAGTTAAAGCAAATCTTAAAAACTCATCTATATGTAAATTTTAAACTCTTCTTTACACAACAGACTGATCTCTGTTGACTATAAAATCATAGCATTTTAGCAGTTTTTAAAAACTGGGGAAAATCCAACTTAGCTTATAGAGTTAATTTCCTTGATTCATTAGGAGTTACTACACATTAACCAAAAAAGCCAGCAACCCAATAGATAAGCAGACAAAGGGGATGAACTAGCAATTCAACAACAACAAAAAGACCTACAAGTGGCTTATGATATTCTACCACATTAAAAATAATACAAATTAAAAATATCATTTTCTCTCTAATCTCTATTAGCAAAGATCAAAAAAGTGGGCAATATATTGAATTGGCAAAGGTGTGGAGAAATCCACTGCTATTAGAGGTATGAACCGATTCAGTGCCATACAGCATAACTGGGAACACTATCAAAATGACTACTGCATATGGCTTAGCAAGTCCACTTTTGTAATTTATTCTACAAGTATATTTACATACTTGCAAAATGAACTATGTAAGATGTAATGTATGTGTAATACTGTGTGCAATAGCAAAAAAAAAAATGTAATCATTCTAAATGTCTACCAATAGACAAGGCCTATTTACCTACCTGCAAATAATGGTTAAATAAACTAGGGTACAGCCACACAATATTGCAGCAGTTAAAACCAATGGGCAGCTCTACATGAACAAAACAGAACCATCTCCAAAATAAACTCTTCAAAGACTGTTTAAAAAACTAATCTATGCATATACAGATGTATATATCTTCTAACTCTGGAAGAAAACACTATTTCTCATTAGACTTAACTAGTTGCCTCTAGGGAAGGGAACTCATAGATGGATGACTGACTTTTGGCTAAATATTATGCATATCTTTGTTTTTTACCATGTGCACTTACTACTTACTGAAAAAAATGTTTAAGTAAAGCTAATGCTTGATCAGAATCCTCTGCTTTATCACCTCTGAATCTAGTACCACCTTTAAAAATGCCAAGACAAAGGGAGACTTTCATACATTTCATGACAATCCTACATACGTTATATTAGAAAATACATTATTTGAAATTCTTATGAACCTTTTAACCATTTCTACTATAACTATATTCATAGCTTTTAATTTCAATCAAATAATACATGTCAGAATATTAATGATTTTTATACTTACCGAACCTTTTTCCCATTTTCAGTAATTTTTGTTACGTTTAATAATCCATATTTTTCTTGACCCTATGTAACAGAGTAATACCATTTACACATCACTCATCTAGACAGTAAAATCTAAATTCTTATATGTGATAAAGACAAAATGATCTGGTACTCTAAAAATCAGCTTAAAAAAAGATTAGTCAGTATGTAATATGCTTAGTTCTAAAGTATGTTAGGAATACAATTTCCTAGTACTTCCGTAAGGTTATTTTCAGTAACTTTACAATTAAACCTTTCTTCTTCTCAAGTCACAGCAGCCATAAAGTACTTTGCTGTCAAATTAGGTTTCCACATGAACACTACTAGTCAGTATTGGGAAAATGATTTATGACTTCCTATTCAAAGAAAGTAATACAATGCTATAACGATAAATACTACAAAAAGAAATTATTTGCTTTGTATTATTTACAGCAGTACTGCCTGAAAATTAGTTAAGATACTAACCTCCTTTGTCAGAATGTAAAAAACTAAATAAAACAAATGCAGTAACTGCATTAATAAATTACTCAAAAGTCAATGTTTCTATGCATAGAACTGGCCTTAATGTGGCATTAAAAAATTCAGTATGTGCTTCATTAAACATACTATCAGATGGTAAATCGGGCTCTGGACAAACCAGATATACTAGTTAGCTGATGTCAAATAGTGACACAGCTTTATCATCAAACCCCTTGAAGGCAAAACCACTTTGCTGAAGTTAAATTTGCTCTTAAAATTCTTCCAGGTGGAAGAAAGGAAACACTTTCTCATTGTTTAGCTTCCAATATTCAACTGAATTTAATCTACATGAGTTGATGTCTATAGCAATCATCCAAATTAGTAACCACTGTATGTATATGACAGAACAATTTTACTTCAACCAAAACACACACACACACACACACACATACACACCAAAGAAAAAATATTCCGAATTCAGAATTTATTTCTACTTAATTTATCCCTCAGCTATTTTCCCAATGTATTTCCATTAGAAAAAGATAAATCTTTCTTGTATGAGAGATAACCATGATGTGGACTGTTTTCTCAATAATGTCTAAAAAATAATGTTTGAAAGTTTTGCCTACTCTGCCAAAAATTCTCATCTATAGACAAAGCTGATAAAGTATTAATGTTCATCATTTGTGGTATAATGAAGACTCGGGAAATACCATGTGAAGTTTTACTATAATTTTTTCATGAAACACAGGTTAGATCTCCTTAGACATGCAAGCCTGATACTTGTAACAGTTCTCTATTGCCTCTTAACAAAAACATCAATTACACAATTTTAAGTATGCACATTTAAGTAAGAATATTCCCAACTTCCTATCAGGAGCAGGGAGGGGGGAAAAAACCCTTTCAATGATACAGGAACTAAGTAACAACAACTGCCAGGAGGGCACTGCTTATGTGAGCTAGGGGACACAGGAATTGGAAGAACAGAGGAGAGGGAGTCAAGCCTATAAGAATGCCAACCCAAGGAGCACACTCTTAATTACAGAAAAGAATCTGATGGTTCCCAGAAAGGAGGTGGGTGTGAGGACGGGGGCACTTGTTGTGATGAGCACCAGGTGATGCATGGAATTGTTAAATCACTGTACTGTACACCTGAAACTAATACTATACTGTAAGTTAACTAACTCAAATTTAAATAAAAACTTAAAAAAAAATGCACATCTGTCACAGACACACTGGGAAAGAGATTGGGTTCTTGCATCAGCCCACACCTATTTAATCTACACTGTACTCATACTGCATGGAAATATTAACACTGATATTTTTAAAAAGCATATGCGGCATATTTCAAAAAAGGATTTGCTGGGGCGCCTGGGTGGCACAGTCGGTTGAGCGTCCGACTTCAGCCAGGTCACGATCTCGCGGTCCGGGAGTTCGAGCCCCGCGTCAGGCTCTGGGCTGATGGCTCAGAACCTGGAGCCTGTTTCCGATTCTGTGTCTCCCTCTCTCTCTAACCCCTCCCCTGTTCATGCTCTGTCTCTCTCTGTCCCAAAAATAAATAAACATTGAAAAAAAAATTTTAAAAAAAAAGGATTTGAAGGGGGCATTAAAAACAACAGTAATGCATTTGAATGGAAATGAAACAAGAAAAAAAATGAACATGTTTAAAATTTACACTGAGGGATGGAATTTTAAATCTGGTTTGATTAGAAGAGGTTAAATGAAAATATCACGCTGAGTGAACAAAGCCTGTCAAAAATGACCACATATTGTATGATTCCATTCTTATGAAATGTCCAGGATAGGCAAATCTAGGGAGATGGAAAGTGCGATTCCTAGTTGTTCAGGGCTGGGTGAGATGTGGAGGTAGAGGAGTGATACCTAATAGTATGTGGTTTCTTCCTGAGGTGATGAAAAAATTCTAAAATTGACTGTGATGATGGCTACACAAACCTGAATATACTAAAAACCATTTAACTATACACGTAAGTAGGTAAATTGTACAGTACATGAATTATATTTCAGTAAAGCTTTTTATAAAAACAAAACAGGGTCTGAAGAGATAGATGGGCACTTTGCAGAGATTTTAAGATGACATCAGGAAGCTAACAATGATTACAGTATTATTTTCATTCCTAAATTTGTAGCTTTCTTTTTCTTACTGCTAAGGCATTATACTAACCAGATTTTAACTCACAAAAAGGAAGTATTAACCCGTATTAACCCATTAAGAGTGGGAAAGGCAGGCTTGGTGGAAAAGAGCACAAGTTGAGAATAGAGAGTGGAGGGCCAAGAAAGGGAAAAGTCAAGGAGGGCAAAAGCCTCAATGGGAAGGGGCCAGATGGCCTGGAAGAGGTACTCCGGAACAGGAAAGAAGAGTTGTATGATTATGTGGAAAAAAGAATGGAGTCACGCAGAACTAACAAACCTATTCAACTTTTCACTTGAAGATAAAAGAATCAAAGAGGAAAATACTGGTGAGACAGTTCCCTGTGATGGCCATCAGGGGGTACCATGAGTCCAGGATGGTCTAGTTGCTGTCAAACTCTGGAGAAAAGGGGTCAATGGTTTGGGAAATAATTTGCAAATTGTCCTTTTAACTCTATGTGGAACATTTGCAAATTTGTGTTTCCAGTCTAACCTAGAGATTCGCTTTTACCAAAATGTAAATAATTTATAAAAGGTCTCCTTAATAATTATGTATTACCTGTATTTAAAATAAGTTAGAAAGGATTTCTGTTTTTCTAGATGTGCTAATAAAGAGTATTAGGGTAACAACACCTTAGATTCATACACTAATTCCTGACACCACCACTAAAGTCATGTTCACTTTTATCTTTAATGTTTATGTACCCAGTACTATGTTACATAATGCAAAAGATCAAAAATAGAAACTAAAAAAGTAGTCACTATGTATCCCTTGGGAGTTTAAAACCTTAGTAGGGAGATGACAGGTACATGAGTTAACATTTACACTATTCGATGCAATAAGAGACTTGGCAATTCAGGAAAAAAAGAAGAGATCATGGGGCGCCTGGGTGGCTCAGTCAACTGAGCGTCTGAATTCAGCTCAGGTCATGATCTCACGGTTTGTGGGTTTGAGCACCACGTCAGGCTCCGTGCTGACAGCTCAGAGCCTGGAGACTGCTTCAGATTCTGTGTCTCCCTCTCTCTCTACCCCTCCCCTGCTTGCTCACTCTCTCTGAAAAATAAACATCCAAAAAAATTTTTTTTAAAAAGAAGAGACCATTATTATGCTAAGGTTAGTCTGGCAAGGCCTCTGAAAGAGTCAGTCCTGACTCTGACAATGAATGTCAGAAGGAACTGTGTACAACATGTGATATGAACCATAAAAGATGTGATTCAGTTAGGGAATGGAGAAAGAGTTACAAAAATAAAATGGCATCTGTGGAAGCCTTTGCCTCTAAAAAATCAGAAGTATCATATAAGTAAGTCTACTACAGTTCCATAAAATAAGGAAGTAACAATAAAAGTCTGTCTTTTAAAAAGCTTTAAAAGTTTTATTTATTTATTCAGTAAGTATTTACTGAAAAGCTACTACTCTGTGTACCCACAGAAGTACTAGGGCTCCTCTATTACTGCTCTAATAAAGCTTTTCTTTGTCTAGCAGGGAAGACAAACACAAATAGAGGGTCTGAGGTTCCTATAAGAAATAAAAATGAAAAGTGTTATCTTATTTTCTATAATCAAGTAACATATAATTACATGCTACAAAGAGTATTACAGAGAAATCTGACCAAATCTAGAAGATTCAAATGCGATTCTCTGAGGAAGCAAAATCGGAACTGAACTTGAACAAACGAACGGACGTTAACAGGCAAAGATGTGGGAGAGAAATGGTTCAGTGGACAGAGAAATGACATGTGCCAGGACCTTGAGCTGAAAAGCAGGCTCTTTTGAGGAAAGAAGTACAGTGCAGCTGAGGGAAAACAAGCAAGGAGGGAAAAGGAGGACACAAGAAGTGTGAGGTAAGGCTGGAGCATGCTCAGTCTTGTAGTCCTCATTACAAATGTTGATCTTCATTCTAAAAGAAAAGAAAAGCCACTGAAGGGGTCTAGCAGGATCAGCCCAATACAGGGAAGACCAGGAGGGACTGCAATACACAGATTAAGTAAACTTTCATCCAAGTCAAACCAGGTCTCTGAAGAGAAGTCATCTGGAGGTTTTCAGTTTAGGGCAACCTTAAAGTTGAGTTACAGACCTCTAATATTCTTCTGGCTTAGACCCGTCATTGAATTGTACAGCACAGAACAAAAGTGGTGTCTGTGCTCATTAGGAAGAAGGGAAACTGCTTACCTTTGGACTGCTGTCCTGAGGAAAAAAGAGTGAAGTATAATTTGACAGTATTTTCCAGGGATGTTATATTTATTTTAAAAAACCAAATATAAATTTGTCACTTACAAATATGGTATATAAATTATTTAATCATGAAGATACCATATTTTGCATAAAAAGGGGGCTTTTAAGTCTATAAAATGATTAAATTCTTAATTTAAACCTATTTTATGATTATTATCTAAAAAAACAAAGAAAGTTAATAGAAGCCCAAGAAATATTTAAACATTATACTTAGAGAAAATTAACTTATTGAAACTGATTGAAATAACTGGACTATATTATACTATATGCTATCATACTAACTGTATCTTGGTGCTTTGGTGAAGAGGGAGAAGATTCATTTTCAGGAAAGCAGGGTTTTGAGGCAGTTGGAGATTCCTACAAGAAATAAGTAATGAAAAATGTTACTCTATTTTATAGCATTATATTTCTCCCTCTATTCGCAGTGGGAGAGCTTAATAAGGGAAGCTAAAAAATTTTCTTCCTAGTTATTTTCTTTCTATATTCAGCTCTGAAACTAGTATGGTATTGATTTATAAAATACAGATGTCTTAAAGTTAATGAAATATGACATATTTTATTCTAATTACAGTTAAATACTGCATACAGAATTACTCAAAAGAAATGATGCATGTTGCCTTAATACCATGATGTTGCATCAGCTTCAACTGACCACATTTAAAATAGGTAAAATTTAAACACTTATGGATAAAAATGTATTAGTCACCATACTAACTGGCTCTTGGTACGGCAGGTATGAATACCCAGGATTAGGCAAGCAACAGTCACAGGAATGACGTGGCAACTGCCAGAATGAAAACTTTTTTGGTTAATGGTTATCTATGTAAATTAAATTAAATGGTTATTAATATTTAAAGTAATTTATAGCTAACTTTCAATTACTAGAAATAAACAAGATTTTTTAAAACACACAAAAAAACTTTAAAGATTAATAACTCTCCAGAAAAAAAATGTTTTAATGTCTAAGCCTACAAGAATATATAACAGGAGCAAATCGATGGTGTGTATTTTAAAAGCAATTCTGGTTTGTCAATATTAAAGACATGTTATGTGATTTCCACCACAGATGTTTACAAGACTCTTCATAGAAGACAAGACTGGAAAAACATTTTTGGTACCCACAGCCAAACTCCATTTAATTTTTTCCATTCCCCTAAATGCTTTATGAATAATCTTAGGAAAAGAGAATTAGAAAAATCATATGCCAACACTTATTATTAGTTTTCTTATAAAACTAAATAATGTGTTTGCACATTCATCTTCACATCTCTATCAGTCTACCATGGTTATGAAATCAGGTACTGTTAACAAACCTGGAAATTTGTATTAAAACACGATAAAAAAAAACCATCCACTCCATATCCATTCACTTGGAAAAAAATATTCAGGTTTATACCATATAAAGTTTGTAAACAGAGAAACTAGACAGTAGTGAAAGTTTACAGAGAAAATCCCTGAAGGGACAATCTTACAAATCAAACATTCAAAGCCTATATTACTAATGAAGAAACATTAAAAGCATATCAAATGTATCTTTACAAAAAGAAATTACACATATCTAGTATAGCTTAAGTATTTTCTGACTGCTTCAGATGTTTCACTTTTTAATTTCTTGTGTGTCTAATATTAAGAGTTTGAAAAAAAGAGAAAAGATAGATTTGATGACCCACAAACTAAAAAATAAGTGAATGGTAATTACGATTTTTTTCATGACATTATCAGTCCTACAGAAATAAAAACCACAGCAAATGAAGTAATAATATATGTACAACAAGTAGAATTCTATAGCAAAAGTTTTACACTTATTTATGTATATTTATAAATGTATGTGCATGTATATCTAAATGTCTACAATGAGGTTTTAGTAAAAAAAACACACATAGGCAGGAACAGTGCACCCACACATATACATATACACACAGATATACACACATCTACCTTCTCCAAAGTTGTCTGACATCTGAATTAGGACTTGTATCATCATGACAACATTTGCTACATAGTATTAGGTTTCTTTATTATTTCTTTTTTCCTCTTTTCAAAGTCTATTCATTCATTTTGAGAGAGAGAACAAGCAAGGGGCGGGGGGGGGGGGTGCAGAGAGAGACAGAGAGAGAGAGAGAGAGAGAGAGAGACAGAATCCTAAGTATGCTCCAAGCTGCCAGCAGAGAGTCCAAAGCGAGGCTTGATCCCATGAACAGTGAGATCATGACCTGAGCCAAGATCAAGAGTTGGACGCTTAACTGACTGAGCCACCCAAGTACACCACTTTCTATTACATTTCAAGTGACACATCCTTTAACCCTCATCATACATTACTCAGCTAGTTTGTTCTGGCATAGTTCCTCAAATCTTAATGTATATACTAGGTGGTGATAATAAATAGAAAAGCTTACTTGAAGTTATTATCTATGATTTCATTTATAAAGTTTAAGGTGTGGGTATTAAAAAAAAAAAAAGACCTTTCTACCAAAAATAAGTAAATCTCTGGTCAAAGAAAATCAGGCTATCAGAACTCTGAAACAATCAAGTAAAAAAAGAAATGTCTGGGGCAACTGGGTGGCTCTGTTGGTTAAAAGTGTCCAACTTCAGCTCAGGTCATGATCTCATGGTTCATGAGTTCAAGCCCTGCATCGGGCTCTCGGCTCTCTGCTGTCAGCACAGAGCCCACTTCATATCCTCTGTCCCCCTCTTACTCTGTCTCTCTCTCTCTCTCTTCTCTTCTCTTTTCTCTCTCTCTCGAAAATAAATAAACATTAAAAAAGAAGGAATGTCGTAAGAACTTCAGGCAAGTTATTCTAACAACAGACTGAAAATAAATCTCAAAAAAGATTTTATAAGAGTAAGAAACTAAGTCTCCATCTGCAAAGTAATCATCCCTTTTATTTGAGAATGAAGAGGGAGTGGGGTTGTTTCAACAATGGCTTTTGGGGCACCTGGGTGGCTCAATGGGCCAACTTGGGCCAACTTTGGCCAACTTTGGCCAACTCTGTTCAGGTCATCTCGTGATCCGTGAGTTCAAGCCCTACACTGGGCCCTGTGCTGACAGCTCAGAGCCTGGACCCTGCTTCAAGATCCTGTGTCTCCCTCTCTCTCTGCCCCTCCCCCACTCATGCTCTGTCTCTCTAGCTCTCAAAAATAAACAAAAATTTTTTAAAAAATGGCTTTTGCCTTAGAGCATTATATATGACAACATACACAAGCTTTGTGTCTACAATGAATTATAATCTGGTTTTTGGAGTTAAATAAATTTTTCTATTAAAAATCTCTAGGAATCTCACCTACTCACATTAATCCTAATGTTAAAATATTGAAGCATTCTTCAATAGCACAGGTTCCAGAATTTCATTCCTTTGATATGTATGCCCTCTACTTTCAAATCACATAATATTCTTAAAAAATATAAATTACAAACTGATCTACTACTTCCGTTGTTGTTCTATTAGTTTATCTTACAAACATAATGTGTGTAGACTGCTTCTACAGCTGCACAAAAAGCCTTCCATTTAATTTCACAAAAATATTAAAGTCACTAAAAAAACAAACACAAAAAACCAACTTGTTTTGACTGATTGATATAATTTATAAAGGAATTTACATCTGAAAGTACCTAGGCATAGAGAAACACGCCTTAGTCAGAGTTCATTCTGTTTTCAGTCACACACCTGAAAATGTAGGAAACCTGTTAATTATGCTAAAGAAAAGTCTGATTATGATAAAATAAAAGAGTCCCCAGTGACAAATATCTTTTTAAAATAAGTTTTTTAGTTTTAGAGTGTTACTACTGCCCTTTCATTTTTACATTAGTATGGCTGATGTTCTACAAATTCGCATGAATTTCCTACTCCATCCCCAAAATGAAGATACAACATAAAGAGAAAACTCACAAGGAAGTTAAAAACATTATGGCTTTTCCATTCTGATGTTTGCATCAAAATTTATCCCTTATTTGAAATAGAGAACATTACTTCTCAGATTGATAAAAGTCCTTCGTGCAGAGAACAATTAGGGAAACAGAGGAGTGGGATTCCGATCTTCCCAGGGGATGAAGAAAATTAAGTAATGTCTTTACTATAAAACTTCTGGAAGACTGAAGATAAACAGTAACAGATATATGATTTTTAAAAAGGGTTATCAAAAGTATTTATCACCTACTAGGCTCAAACGTATACATTATTAAGCCACAGATAAATCAGTCCACTGTGCAAAGATCAGTAAGCTTCAAAACCAAAACCCATTCCAGGATAAATTGCTGCTGTCTATATATAATAAAACAGTAGTCACCAAAATAGGAGATCCACCTAAGGAAAAAGATAAAAGTATAAAGAATAAAGAACATGCCAATATTGTCAACAGTTTTTCTCAAGAAGTCCTACCTTGTCATTGGTGTCCAACACAATGGTGCTATGTCTCCACTTTGTTAAAACTATCGGTTCTTGCAGCCGCCTGTCTAGGCTCCTACTTTTAATTATTTCTCTTTGTTGTTGGGATGAAGCATTATACTAAAAAAAAAAAAAAATTATACCTCATTAATAGAAACAAAAGTGGAATCTAAACATGCAGGCTCCAAATGACACATAATGTTAGGCGAAGTTCATCACAGGAATTTTTCTGGTCTCAGTTTTCTCATCTTTGACCACACTGTGGCACAACTGAGATGATCAGGAGTTTTGGTGTTGGACAAAGTTAACGTTAGCTTGGCAAAATAAATATTCAGTCTCCATGGGTCTCCGTTTCACCAACTGTAAAACAGGCATAACAGAAACACCGTCTCATTCACACCGGTGTTAAAGAAGTTAAGCAGTATCGGGGCACCTGGGTGGCTCACTGGGTTGAGTGTCAGACTCTTGATTTCGGCTCAGGCCCTGATCTCACAGTTTGTGAGACGGAGCCCCACGTGGGGCTATGGGCTGACAGCACGGAGACTGCTTGGGATTCTCTCTCTCCTTCCCCCTCTCTCTGCCCCTCCCTGTGTGCCTCTCTCTCTCTCTCTCTCTCTCTCTCTCTCTCAAAATAAACTTAAAAAAAAAACTTAAGCAGTGTAAAAAGTGCTAAATATTGCCCTAATAGTAGATTCTCAGTAAATATTAGTTATAATTTGTAGAACGAAGTTGTTGAACAAATTTATTATTTTAAGGTTCCTTCTAATTCAAAAATCCACATGAATTCAATTTTTGGTTTAGGTTTTTTAAATAATTATTACATATAAAACAGTATCCTCACATTTAAAGGGTTTTTTGTTTGTTTTTATTTTTGCTTTCATTTATAAGCCAAACATACTATTATTTGTTTCTCTGAAGTGGTAAAACATAGCAGACCAGAAGACAGAGATGGTATTGGTTGGAAAGACCAATCCTGAATATATCAGTTGTGTGCAAAGAACAGAAAATAACTACCACCTAAAATTACACAGAAAATTAAGAATGTATTATCAGTAAGGTATTAAATCATGTGTGTGAAATGTCAAGTAGATCAGCAAACATAAACATTTCAGAAATGTGACGTTTAGGAGTTATACTGATTTATACAGCCAATTTTAATAAGTTATAAGTGATAAAACATAATTAAATGACAAAAAATTACAGGCTACATTCTTCTCCTGAAAGCAAAGGACACCTAATACCTATCTACTTCTCTCACCTGTAAAAAGCCCATCAAATCTTAAAATTTTAATGATTCATTACAATTCCAGTAAAATTATATTATAGGAATGTTTTTAATATTAAAAAATCTTCCAACATGTTTCTCTATGCCATTTTTTAGTCCCCAAAATGAGCCTATATAGGCCCCCTAAACTGTCTCCCAAATCTGTTACTTCATTCTTCACATTAAAATTTACCAAAGCCAGGCAGTCACATATGGCATTTGTTTTTAAATCACTGTTGCTTAACAATTAGCAATCTTAAAATCTGTCACAGAAGTTCACAAAGGGATCATTTCTAGAATGAACAAAGATGAAACTTAAAGGCTACACCCCCAAAAATTCTTTGCCAGAAGTCTCTAAGTGAAAACAGAAATACACTTTCCCTTCAATACAAACATCGCAAGAACTAAAATGTATAGCTGTGTAGAGACATGTATACAAACCATAACAGATACCTACCTTAGCTTATGAGCTTTATAATTACTATAGTTGCTGAGAAATCCTTTCTACACGGTATCAAAGATAACATTAAACTGGGTAATAAGCACAATTGTAAATGTGTTGGTGGTTTTACTAGGGCATAGTAAGTTCATAAAAACAAAGCATAAATAAAATGTCAAACAGAAAATACTGCATAGACAGAAGACAAAAACAAGGCGCCACATAATTAGAGAAAGGAAAAATAATTGTTATTTTTGCACAGCTGTGTGCAAAGAACAGAAAATAACTACCCCACAGTTAAAACACATGCACACACACACATGCGTCTAGTTAAAAAGACGGCTAAGTTTAAAACTTTTCTAATCCCATTAAAAACACCTTTTTAACAATCTTAAATGAACTTTTATTTGAATTATTTCAAACATATACAAAAGAATAAAGACTCGGGGCGCCTGGGTGGCACAGTCGGTTAAGCGTCCAACTTCAGCCAGGTCACGATCTCGCGGTCCGTGAGTTCGAGCCCCACGTCGGGCTCTGGGCTGATGGCTCAGAGCCTGGAGCCTGTTTCCGATTCTGTGTCTCCCTCTCTCTCTGCCCCTCCCCCGTTCATGTTCTGTCTCTCTCTGTCCCAAAAATAAATAAACATTGAAAAAAATAAATAAATAAATAAACATCTTTAAAAAAAAAAAAAAGAATAAAGACTCTAATGAAAACCCACCATCAAGTTTTAGCATATCTAATAGAAGACATTGCTTTAGGTACCCTTTAAAAAAAAAAAAAAGGAAAATATTATAGACATGTCAGAGACCCTCTGAACACATCTTTGAGATTCCATTCCTCTCCCTCTTTTCCCAGCAGCATCATATAATTCAGTGGTCATCATTCTCATCACACTTTGATATATACTTATGCACCTATAAATATATTTACCTGTGGAGTTTTAAAAGTGATATAAATGGAATCAGACCACATATTGCATCATTCTTCAACGTGCTTTTTGCATTCAACATGTTATTGTAAAAAACATATCCATGCTGGTGACTATGCAGTTCTGACTCACGTATTTTCACTTCTATAGAATATTACATTATATGTAAACACCACAATTTAACCATTTTGCTACAAATGGATATGTCTAAGGTGGCAGTACTAATTTATTTATAGTTCTACCAGCAGAACATAATGCTTTGCACTGCCCTACTTGGAATTGCTGAATTTATATGCATTTTTATATGTAAAATAAATGTTAAGTACACATACACATTAAAAAAATATGTGAAAGGTGAAACGCTAGCTCAGTGTTTTAATTTACATTTTCTGATTACCTATAAATTTGGACATCTTTTCATATACTTATTTCATGTATTTCCTCTTCTGTGTATTGCTTAGTCATGTATTTTGCCTAATTTCAACTGGACTTTCTCTTACATACAGAAAGGATCAGGAAGTTCTTTATATATTTTGCTTCTAAATATTTGTAAGCTACTTGAGTTCTTGAGTTTAATATACCTTTTCCTAGTCCAGAGCTCAGCTTTTCCCCTAAAAGGTACCTTTTATATTAGTGTTTTGTTTAATTTGATGTAATCACATCTGTCAATCTTTCCTTTTATAGGTTTTCGTTATTGTAGTCTTTTTAAGAAATCCTTCCCATTCTGAAGTCAAAGATATTTTTATATAGCTTTTAAAATTTTGCTGATTAAATTTACATCTCTCATCTACCTGGAATTAATCATTAAGTATGACATGAGTCAAGATCTACACTTCATTTTTTTTTCCATGAGAATAACCAATAATCTTAGCAACATTTATTGCATAGTCCATGCTTAACTCATCGATTTGTAATGCCAGATCTGAGCTTTCTATTCTGGTCTATTTCTCTGTATGTGTGCTCTTACTACCCATCTTAATCACTTATTTTCATGAACCTCATCCCTCACATGCCCCACCTCCCATTTTCAGGAATACTTGGGTTCTTCATAGACCTTTGTTTGTCAACAAAATTTAGCATCAGTTCCAAAAAAGGTGGAGAGGGAAAAAGTAAGTGGAAATGCAGTGAATTTATAGATTAATGTGGACACTGCACTAACACTGGGCCTCCCTGTCCAAAACCACAATGGCATATTGCACCATTTATTCAGGTTTTATGTTCTTCCATTCTGCTCTGAAATTTTCTTCATTAAGATCTCACAAACCTTTAATTGGTGTATCAGTAGTTACAACTCTTCGTGTTGCCACTGCTGCTAATGTAAAGAGGATCTTTATTTCTATCACATTTCAAACCTGACTTTTTACTAGAGAAATGGGTAGTTGTTTTTTTTCTTTTAAGGTTCTTTATTTATTTTTAGAAAGAGAGAGAGTACCCTCATGAGTAGACTACAGGCAGAGAGGGAGAGAGAGAATCCCAAGTAGGATCTGCACTGTCAGCTCAGAGCCTGATGCAGGGCTTGATCTCACAAACCATGAGATTTAAGGCTGCCATTTTGTTTTTTATCCTGTTTATCATTCACATTTCTTCTTTCTTACCTTCCTATGGACTACTTGAAAAGTTTTCACTATTAGATTTTAATTCATCTATAGTTTCTTGAATATATCTTTTGTTGGTTTTTAGTGACTGGTCTAGGAATTACAATTTACATGCTTAATTTACCACAGTCTACTAGTATCAACATTTTACTATTTCAAGTGAAATGCAGACAACTTATTAACAGTGATATCACTTTACTCTCCCCTCTTTATGGTACTGTATTTGGCTGTTTTAAGTATCATCTCTACCAGGGCACCTGGGTGGCTCAGTTGATTAAGCGCTGACTCTTGATTTCGGCTTGGGTCATGATCTCATGGTTTGTAAGATTGAGCCCCATGTTGGGCTCTGTGCTGTCAGTGGGGAGCCTACTTGGGATTCTCTCTCCCTCTCTCTCTGCCCTTCCCCTGCTCATGCACATGCACTCTCTCTCTCTCAAAATAAACTTTAAAAAAGTATCATTTCTAACTACAATGAGTACTTCAGAAATGTTTTAATTTTTGTTTTGAATGTCAAACATAATTTTTAAAACTCAAGACAAGTCTCCTCAGATATTCACCCTTTCCACTGTACTTTCTTCATTCTTGATGTTCCAGGTTTTCTTCAGTTATCATTTCCCTTCTGTGTGAAGGACTTCCTATAGTAATTCTTTAAGAACGTGATACTGGTAATAAAATTCTTACGTTCCTTTCCTTTGAAAATGTCTCTTTTATTTTCATTCTTGAAGAGCATTTTTTTTGGATGTACAATTATGGGTTTACAGTTTTTTCTTTCAGCATTTGAAAAATGTTATACCACTTCCTTCTAGCTTCACGGCTTCTGATAAGACATCCACTGCCATTCAGACCACTATTACCCTACAGCTACTGTGTTGAGTTGCTTTCAAGATTATTTTA